TTTAAAAGGTTCCGTGCAGTTTTGGCGCAAATTAAATTGTAACTCTGTTTTCTAAAGTGCATAGGATATTGCCTCTGCAGACCAGGGGCCATTATCTCACTGATACAGGAGACAGGGGAGAACGTCTGTTGTAATTCCACTTGAAAGGAAGCTGAACTAGAACAGGGTTCCTTGGTAAGTCTACATTGATGAGGAAACCAGATATAGATGAGCTGAATGTCTCCCTTGAGATGAAGAAGATCTGGGAGGATTGAATGTAACCATGACTATACAGTAGCTTTATTAAGTGCTTTGCACAGAACTTTGAATGGAACTGTATAAAACTATATAAACGCAGTTAATCAAACAACAAACCACCGTTTTTACTACATTAAATCTCTGCAATAAATTCAGTTTGAAACTGTAACTGTTGATTCTCACTTTGTAAAGTGCAGTAAACATCTATATTCATTCCTATTAACAGCAACCTTCATTGCCAAGTGGCATTTATATTTTTGTGAAACCCTAGAAACTTGTACTGTAAAATTAATCTTATGCAGAGGGCACAGTCATGATGTCAGTAGTATTTAGCATTGATAGTCAAGTCATGTAAGAATTATAGTTTAGTTTTGCAAAGCTGTGCTGTGTTACTAAGGAAGAAACACCTATGGACAAATTAGCTGTGTACAATATAAGCACCAAAGCACCAAATACAAATTCTTGGCTAAGTTGTGAATCCACATGTTCAGTCACAAGAATAATAATACATGTCTTATAAGCAGTTTATCTAAACAAAAAAGGGACCTTTCCTAAGAAACATCTTCCTGTGATTATTGTTGTTTATAAAAATTGCCACCACATTATTTACATTAGTTGTGCATGTTTCTGCTTAGTTTTAACATTTTCAAGCACATTGCAGGGTTAGGAAAGCTGTCTGAATGAGGGTTTCACCTTCTTAGGCAACTACAGTGTGTGTGTGTGTGTGTGTGTGTGTGTGTGTGTGTGTGTGTGTGTGTGTGTGTGTGTGTGTGTGTAAGAAATAAAAAACACATTTCTTAAACAAAGACACAGGTGCGATCCATAAGCCAGCCTCCTTTTTTTCATCACAGAACAATATTTCATCCCATGTTTCCTGGAGAATTTGCTCAGAGGCACTGCAGCCCCCCATGTCAGGAGACTGAGGACTGGAGCAGACGTAAACTGCCAAAAACCTATCAAATCACTGCATTGTACGGTAATGACCTCTCCTGACACAGAAAAGCCATCAAGTGTTAAGCAAGGGAAACACTGATAGTGTACAGTACACTGGACAGAGGTGGTGTTAAAAGAGAGAAGTCAGAAGCAAAGTGAACATTAGGCTCTTTAAAGGCAACCACAGTAGGTCTACACATTATGCATGCACATGATCTGCTGACAGACTGTTGTTGTCACTTTGCTTTAAAATGACAAGAAAACAATCACTTTAGCTTCCTATTTCAGGTCTGCACTTTTTGCATGTGTGCGTGACTTTAAATGTTTATAAAGCTCCTTTCATGAATAGGAGCTGTTTCTTCCATTAATCATTACCCGTTCCACCGTGCCACTTAAATATGTTCACTCCTTGACATATAAATTGCTGTCTTGTCTGAGGGGGTGTTAATGACTGATGTTA